CATGTAATCATCTTTGTGTAAACAACAAAAATGTGAATTTGTGAAAACGACTTATGAGTTCAGTCTATAGGCAGGGTTGCCAGGTCTGTGCAACAAAACTAGCCCAATGAATTTAGCAACCTTTAACCGTGGGAAAGAAAAGAAAAATCAATTTGCAGCAACAATTTTAGAGAATCTACTTTTGATAGATTAATGCAAAAATCTTAGAAATCTAGAAATCCCCCCCCCCCCCCAAAAAAAAAATATGACTGTATTTCACATTATCGGTCCATGTTTTCCTTTGCGGCTTATGGTGCGTTCACACCGCAAAGTAAGCAATTTCATTAGCAAACATGTCACTATGATTGTTAAGTTCATTCCATCGATCAAATTTCTGCAAAAATAATGATCAACATGCTTACATTTATTCATTTAGCTGACGATTTTATCCAAAGCGGCTTACAATTGCTATATATCAGTGATGCGCGGGTCAATGTATAAACAACCCGCAACCGACCGACGTTTTCAACTACCCGCCCGCAACTCGGACCGCAAAAAAAAAGTAAAAAAATATTGTACCCGACCCGCTTCCTGACCGCATTTTTTGAAAGTAGTAAATGCTCATCGGAGCGTTATTGGGCCATAGACGTGTAACAACACGGCATCGCAAGAAGACGTCGGCCTACACATAACAAAGCCAGCACTTTTACTCTTTCTATTTGTATTTGCGGAGCTTCCACTCCCCAGTCTTCACCTTTTCTCTTGCCGCCTCCATCTCCGTGCAGACTGTAGTGATCATAGACATGGCCGGTTCGTGAACGAATCGTTCTTTGAACCGGCTCTTTTTAGTGAACCGGTCGAACCAGTACACTAAATCGAACTGAATCGTTCGAAACAGTTCACATCTTGCGTCAGTGCTGCTGATCCACAAGTTACTAAAGTTACTCACTTTCAGACATGCCTGACGGTCGCCAACGAATCGAAATAAATCAATATCCTGGATTATATTTTACTCCAGTAACCGAGATTGGTGCCACTGTTTGAGAGAAGTGATGAGCACGAGCAGCTGATACTGCGTATACCGAACGCACAGGGACAGCGGTTCTCGAATCACCAGTACAGAACCGAGAACTGTTTCGACTGATCGAGTTTGTGTGTTATGTTCGTGCCAGTTATTCAGCCAATAATGTGTAGGGCTGTATATTTCATCAAAAATTGTGTCTAGTAGGCTACTATATTAATACAAATGTTTAATTGGCATCTTTTTTCAAACGACCCGACCGACCGCGACCCGAATATCATTAAAAACATTTTTGGATGACCCGTAACTGCGGGTAACCGCGGGTGACCGCAGGCACCCGCTCATTTCGGATCAACCCGCGCATCACTGCTATATATGTCAGAAGTCGCACACCTCTGGAGCAACTAGGGGTTAAGTGTCTTGGGACACATTGGTGTCTGATAGTGGATTAGAACCCGGGTCTCTCACACCAAAGGCATGTGTCTTATCCACTGCGCCATCACCACCTCATGCTTGTTTGCTTTGCGGGCCCATTAAATACAGTTTTAAAAAAGACCACACATTCAATCTACGTCAGAGCATCCACGAATCTTTCCACGTTGTCGCTGGAAGGCCGGTGAGAGCGAATTTTGCCGTTCTCGCCGGCGACGGTGTGAACGTACGGTTATCAGGCCAAGAGCCAAGAAATTAGACAGAAAGAGACTGGCTACCGACATATAAAGAGAACGACTACAATTAGTTTTGTTTATATATGTCATTTAATGGTGGATTTATCTGGAAAAAGTTGATACAGCAATAAGTGCAAATCGTGTGTACTTGCAATCAGAATTTCGGTTGGAAAAACCAGACCCATATGTTATAGGAATACTGTTTTTGAGTTTGTGTTCGGATGAAATGATTCAGATGAATATTTTAGGTGTTTAGATGCAGGGGAGATCTCATTAGTGTGACTGATCAATAACATTGTGCAAACAGACAATCTCCCCATCTGTTTAGGAAGAGGAAGTGAAGCTCCGCTAAGCGAGAGCTAAGAATAGAAAGTCCAATAAGGACATGCACACACAAAAAAGTGTCTTTCAATGTTCCCTCTCTCCCTTTGTGCCTTTCCCTAGAGGTGGGCAACAATTCATCCAGCAATGCTGTGAGACTCTGGCTTCCTACCTTGTGCTGGTTTCTAAGGAGATGCCAGTGGGCAAACACACAAAGAGAGACAGAGAGACCGAGTTGAAGAGAGAAGGGGAAAGAAAAGCTAGTCCTCCGCGGAGAAGAGCTCTTGGCAAACGCTCAGAACTGGATGCAGAGCAGCGTTTATTTCCTTTCAGACATCGTCAGGGAGAACCGAGAGTATGTGAAATGAATAATAATGAGGGGCATTTCATGTAGCGTATTTACCTCTGTGAGGCACCTGTGACGGAATGAAAGGGAAACGAACTACGATGAAAGACAGGATGTGATGTCGCTTCTCGGTATCACTTGTCACAAGAGTATTCTGAGAGTATTACAAAGAATTATTAAATTAGACAAAATTTTTCAATATTATTAGTTCTATATTTTACAACATGATGTATCTACAATCAATTCAATATTATTTACTCTGTTATTTTTTATAAATATAGAGCACTGATTCTTGAGATAAGGGACAAAAGTGACAAACAAATAAAATCGATACATTAATCGAAATTGGATATCAAGTTTTGGGGATGGAATTTTAGGAAATCTCCCTTATTTTCAATGTTCAATGTTGACAGCTATGCTAAGGGAGGCTCTGTTTCTGAACTTATAACCAGAACACAAGTACAATTTAGAGACAAAACACACCAGCCTTGTTTCTATCTACCATTTCCGAACTCGCCGCATTAACCCTATAACTGTCAGTGCAAAATAAAACAGCAATTTCAAAACAATTATAAAGAGTCTGTGTGCTAACTTTGATTATGGTTGCACTTGCACTTATTGTTTGCACTTCAGACTTCAATGAGTTCAGTTAGGAGGTCACACACAGCCTCAATAAAAAGTTATGGAAGCTCTTAAATGTACTATAAGGTCCGAAGAGACTTGAAATCAAACAGGAGAAAAGGAGAAAAGCCAGTCAATAAAAACCTTTTACAGTGCTTATATATTGTTTTCTCTCAATGCATTTGATAACTCATACTCATAAAGTAGACCTGAAATGACATGCATTAGTGCATTATTAATTAAAATATTGCAAAATGCACCTGCATACTATATTTCCAGTCATGAATTTTGTCATTGAGGATTTCTGAAAAAAAAAATTGTGCAAAAATCTCATCTCCTTCTCATGAACCCAATCTCGTGTCTGGTCCTGTCTCGTGAGAAAAGCGTCTCGATATATATATGATTACGAATTAATATATTACATTTTTACAATAATAATGAATTACTTACTTAATAATGAATGAATTACTTTCTGAAACTACATATCAGATCACATTAATGAAATTTCCTGAGCTGGTCTTGGTCCCAAATTGACAGAAGAACACCTGTGTTGCTAGTAGAACATCTCTGGTGCTGCCAAGTTAAAAAGCCCACCTCAGACAGTACAGCCCGCGGTAACCTTTCTCTGGTCAGCCCAGTTTGCTGCTCAGGTTTGGATTGCTCCCCCTGGGCAGTTCCAGAAATTCCCTGATATCCCAGATGTCCAACACCAGCCCTTTTGTCTTGCAGATGTTCAACAGTAGGTGGTTTCCTCCACACCAGAGGTCCTCCAGCAGCTTCCTGTACTCTGACTCATGGACATTGCTGATGTTATGTATACTGCAATGATAAGTCCACAGAAAACATCTGCAGGTGGCGTGACCCACTGTTTTATTGATAGAGTGAGAGTATAAAAAAATAAATATAAAAAAAAAAAAAAAAAAGAGATGATCATGGTCGGCCTTTCAAAAGCTAAACAAACTTCTTTAGACATTGTGTACAGGTTTGCAGATATGCAAGGAAAAACGTTATTTTTATTTTTATTTTATTCTGACCCTATACGATAATAAATGTATGGATGTGTTTTTTTTTAAATATTTATTTATTTAATTTACTTTATATAACATCTGCTGCTTCACTGTCCGTAAACAGGTGAGCCTAAATTTCAACCTGCTTTTATACATCCATAGTACTGTATGTATTGTGTGGTCCATCGATGACAAAATACAGCCATCATCTATTCTATACCGACAGATTGCATCTCTAGAGTTACTGTAATAACCAGATTGATTAAAAAGAATGTGTAATGTTGTAAGGATTTTGGACACATAATGACATAACTGTAAATTAATTTAAACCCTCTATGAGGGCTGCAGGAGGGGGTTTGCACCTCTCTCTATCTCTCTCCTTCAGTCCATATGTCCTGAACAAGCGTCTCTTTCATCCACTCATTCACAAAAGCTTCCTTTCATTCCGTTGAGAGATGGCTTCACACCAGTTCTGTTTCCAGAGTGATACCCAGTAAACATAGTGAAGGGAATGCCAAAAATCAGTGGCCTCGGGGTCAATGTTTGTGTGTGTGAGAGAGAGAGAGAGAGAGAGAGAGAGAGAGAGAGAGAGAGAGAGAAAGAGAGAAGGAAAGATAGATCTAGCTGTTTGTTTACAGGCATGTCAACCTCCATTAGAACACACATGTATAATACATTTATAATGAATGTCTTCAAGAGTGAGTCTGAAAACGTCCGCTGGGCTCTGGCTATGTAGGTATGAATGTACCTGTACTTTGTATGAAGAAGGGTCATGCTGTGGACTGACTCAAAAATGAGGCATTTTGAGACACCATCCTTATTCTTACTGAGATGCACTGAATCAGAGGTAAACAATTATTTTTTAATTATAAAAAATATATAAAATGGATTTTTGAATTAAAGATGAATTAAATAAATCATTGCAACTGTTCATTTTTTGGTTATTTTGAAAAGTGACTAATTTACATTAGAAATTTTTGAATTAATAAGTTGATTTTTGATTATCTATTCATCACTGCATGAGCTAAAAGGCCTACCTTGGAAATGGAAAGTCTGTCCCAGCTTTTAAGAACCAGTGCAGTCAATATATTCTGGCACCTGGTTTTTGTACCTGGATAGAAATTGGTTTTAGAGGTTCCCTCCCATTAAAAAAAAAAAAAAAAGTACTTCACTACATTATATTTTGTGAAGGCTATATCGTTGTTGTTCAGATTTTTGACTGTGGGTCTATCGCAGCTTGACACATAGCATGCATGAACACCGACTATCAATCTGAATACTGATGTTTCTTTTACTGACCTTGCAATGGCTTTTAAGGCTAGTATATCCCAGCATCATACCACAAGCCTTTATCTCTGCGCCTACATAGGCACATATCTTAAAAGGAGAAAAAAGCGGGCTTTTAATAATGGATTAAGTTCAGTCAAAAGGGGTATCAACAGAGAGTAGATGAAAGTACTGCTCAGAGATAATAAACCAGGCTGTAGCTACAGGCGTAGCCAGAGGAACTGAACCGGCTCGTGACACAAACACACACATACACACAAAGATCATCAATTAAAGACAATACGCCACTGTGCTACCAGACTATAGATTAAATGAGTTGTTTTACAGAATATCAAAGACTCAAATCTTGGTTCATCACTAAGCAGCGATTCAAATTTGTGTCTCTAAACAAATTATTAATTAGCGAACAAAACCAACTACATCAAACCACATCTGATAACCATTCAGGCACTGTTGAGTTCAAAAAGAGACAATTAGCAGCATGGTGCAAACGGAAGAAAATCGTAGGCGTAATATGGTGTTTGTGCGCTAAAAGCCATTTAAAGCTAGTAAAAGTGGGCCGTCACACTTCTGATCTATTGTTAAGCTAGTGTGTGCACACTGCCTATCACCAGCATTTCAATATGAGTTCTGTAATGTCATAAAACATGTCCTGGCAATAATTATGTTTGAAAACTGCATTTGGCATTTTTCTCTCACTATTTTTATCCATCCCCTTTCCGAAATCCAATGAAAAAAATAATAACGTCTCTAATAAAACGATGCAATTTGAATGTATTAATGAATGTAGCATTCAGGGCCAGAGATCAAAAAGCAGGGCACGATTTTAAAGACCTTATTTAACTTATATGTTAGACAAAACATGGCCAGTTACATTTGCTCCATCAGTGCAAATAGTTAAACTAATGAATGTTAATCTAGTACACGACAATGATGTAGGCTACTAAAAATGGAAAATTGGTCTTTTTGCGTTCCTCGCATACAGACAACAACACGTTCAAAACAATTCCCGTTCACACGGATCCGGTAAAACCACTAAAACTGCTTCCAGGCCAGTAGTTGGCGATGTCACTTTTTAAGGAAACACTACGTGCCTATAGACTGAACACGTAATACTCATGCACATGATGTCACAAACTCGTGTTTTTGTAGTTTACACAGATACAATAATGGTATTGTTTTCAAAAATGTGCACATTGAAACCAGTTTTAAAAATTTCGCTTTTTCAGGCCCCCAAAAATCAAAATAAATCAAATATACTTTAATAATATATTATTTTTAATATAAAATAAATATTTTACAAAATATTTTTTACTATAAAATTACCATAAAATAAAAGCTATATATCTAACCAAGTTGTGTTCCAAATTTAAAGTTGATATCACAAAAATTGAAGTTCCTATGAGATTTTGTTTAGGCGTTATACCAAAAATAGCCACCGGGTGCCATTGAATTCCATTGAATTTAATTGTATGCATTCTGCCATAACAAATTAATAAATTTCTATCCAAATATCACTTCTGTCACTAAATATGGAACCTTGAGACTAAGACCCTTCTGACAATATGTGTTTTGTCAAGATTAGAAAAGGTTTTGATAATAAATTATGAAAGATGATGCCCAAAAGGGAGGGGCCTAATAAAAAAATACCATTTCTATGATAACGCAACATCCAATTTCAAAATGGTTTTCACAGGATGAATTCTGAGTTCGTAAGCTTTCAAATGATACCTAATTTATGATAACTACTAAAATACGTCATATAATAATTATAAAATATATATATATAATATATATTATACTTTTTAGAGGACTTCTTACCTTACTTTTTAAAATATAATTTTATCTTTTTTTATAGACGTATACTAGATTATGTTTTATTATGAACTTTTAGCACTAAAAATCAAAGTTTTAATTATTAAAAGTGTGTCCGTCAACTTTTTGTGACAAAGGTCAGAAAAACTCCTGTAATGACGTCGATTTTTTGAGGCGCACTCTTGTCATAAATTCATATATTACTGTTCATTCATAATTGGGATTAAATAACATCTATTCAAGAGTCTTAGACATTTCCAACGATATATAGTTTGTCATGACTAGATCAGGATTTAATAGTAATATAGTGAAGTAAATTTAGGTTGCTCGTATTCACGGGCAAGTGACAGTTAAGGGGTTAAAATCTTACTTTTTTCGGCAAAATGATCTCTTGATTTTAATTTGTCAACTCAGTACTTCACAGTGGTGAAAAGTTTCTTTTCAAGTTCTGATGTTTGTTTGGTTTTTTTTTTTTGCCAAAAGACCTCATCTGACCAAAGAAGCAGACTACAATCAAAGCTCCTGTAATGTTCAGTGAACTTTAGCTACTCATATTTGTGATTTTTAAAATAGCATAAGCTTTCTTCTGACGAGCTTTGATAGTTTGAAAGTAGATTTTTGGAAATGTTTGGCCTCTATGAATGGAGAAAAATATACCTGCGTCCTCTATTTGAAAATTGTTTCTAAATAAGATTAAAAAAAAACAGTCTTCTCCATTATCAGCGATATGCTTTCTTTAAACACTAATATTGGAGATATGGTGCAGTGATAATGGCTTTAACAATGTTGAAAACAAATTTTCCCTAATTTCAGAGATATGTAGTAAATTTGCAATTTTTTGATGCAGTTTAAGATTGATGCTATAAAAAGTAGGTTTTCATATTGGATGTATCTACTTGAGTGGCAATGATTGTGAAAAGTTCTGCAACTTGCTGCCATGGTGATGTGGCTTTCGTATGAGGTCCAAGATGAGTGGAAACCATTGTACACCTACAAAATGCAATGGGTTTCGAATCAATTTCAGTCCCCATGAATATCGCCTTGTGAAAATCCCAGCCACTGTGAAAAGCTATTCATCTGGGTAATGCCAAGGTTACGTACAAGACCACTCTATCTCAATGCACGCTGTGTCGCTTGGCGCGAATATCCATATTTCATAAACAGATGTGCTGTTTACGGGTGGCAGGGGCATGTAGACAAGACTCTCTCACCTTGCCAAGTCATGATAATGGTGAAGGTAACAGCTGGTTGGCCATATGGGGTTTTAGAAGAGCCATTGGTAAATCCTACTAACTTGATCTGTAAAATAAATATGAGTTCTCATATCGTAGATTCTCACATTGTAGATCAGGTGATGATTTGTGGTTTGAGGCATAATAATCAGGGGGGAAAAAAATTCCAGAGCCAATTTTTGAGATTGAATGTTGCATCATTTCACTTCTTTCATGCCATTTCATGCCCTAGGCAGGTTCTGAGAGACGCGCTTACCTTGCCAGTTGATTTGCTTCTGTTATTTCCATTGGGTAGGGTTGAAGACGAGTTGACGTCCTCATGGAGGCGGTCCAGAAGCCAGAGCAGGAATTCCAAAGCGTCATGCTGTGAATTCCCCCGGAATTGAGCACCATATTTAGATACGGTCATCTGGAGATAAGAAACAAGATAAAGGTCACACAAATACCAGTGTCAGATTGTCTATTAATATAGACATAACACAAAAAAGGTATTGAACATGATCCCTTTATTCAGTTGACACACTCCATATATAGAATGCTGAGTTGTCTATAGATTGTCGAAAAAAACAAAAAACAAACTCATTGAATAACAGCCGCAGTGGATCTGACTCAGAACAGGCAGTTTGTTAGATACTGAGATGCAGTGGAGACCAGATGGAGGATGTAAATTGCATTCTGTTATATAGTGAATAATGCTTTTATACAGATCATGACAACAACTGTGTAAACAAATAACTGAAGAATCCTCATAACATCTGTGGTCACAAAAAAAGTTCTGATAAAATGCATTGGCAGATAACATCAGCAGCAACATGTGTGCTTGTTTGTTTTTTGCTTTACATTAATGTAAAAGATTTCTATTTCAAATGAATGCTTTGAACTTTCTATTCATCAATGAATTCAGGAAAAAAAATCAGTTTTAACAAAAAGGTTAGGTGTGTAGGTTAGGTATGTAACCCTCGTTCCCTTGAAGGAAGTAACAGAGACGTAACGTCGAAAGTGACCAACTGAAAGAGAACCCTAAATAGCACTACAACGGTTTTCAAAATTGATTATAATCAATGTGTGGAAGCTTGTTTCTGCCACAGAATAAAACATTTCAAAAGATAATTGCTACTTTTTATCTCACAATTGCGACATTTCTCAGAATTGCATGATAATAAAGTCGGAATTGCATGTTATGAAGTCAGAATTGCAAGAATTGCACTTTATAACTCACAATTATGATTTTATATCGTGCAATTCTGAGATAAAAAGTCTGAATTTTGAGACAAAAAAAAAGATAAAAGAGATAGAAGAGATAAAAATCGCAATTACATTTTTAATGTTTTTATTCTTTGGCGGAAACAAGCTTCCATAGAAATATTTCTTGGGCATCAAATCTTCACATTAGAATGATTTCTGGAGGATCATGTGACACTGAAGACTGCATGGAGTAATGATACTAAACATTCAGCTTCACCATCACATAAATAAATGGAATGCAGGAGGGGGTTTGGAAGTAGCCATCAGAGGATTGGTACATGGTTGCCATAAAGGTATGGAAATGCTCAGAAACAATGCTCAGGTAGGCCGTGGCATTTAAACGATGCCCAATTGGCACTAATGGGCCTTAAAAAGTGCCAAAAAACATCTCCCACACCATTACACCACCACCACCAGCCTGCACAGTGGTAACAAGGCATGATGGATCCATGTTCTCATTCTGTTTACGCCAAATTCTGACTCTACCATCTGAATGTCTCAACAGAAATCGAGACTCATCAGACCAGGCAACATTTTTCCAGTCTTCAACGGTCCAATTTTGCTGAGCTCTTGCAAATTGTAGCCTCTTTTTCCTATTTGTAGTGGAGATGAGTGGTACCTGGTGGCGTCCTCTGCTGTTGTAGCCCATCCTCCTCAAGGTTGTGCGTGTTGTGGCTTCACAAATGCTTTGCTGCATACCTCGGTTGTAACGAGTGGTTATTTCAGTCAAAGTTGCTCTTCTATCAGCTTGAATCAGTCGGCCCATTCTCCTCTGACCTCTAGCATCAACAAGGCATTTTCGCCCACAGGAGGACTGCCACATACTGGATGTTTTTCCATTTGCATGCCATTCTTTGTAAACCCTAGAAATGGTGCACATGTGAAAATCCCAGTAACTGAGCAGATTGTGAAATACTCAGACCGGCCCATCTGGCACAAACAACAATGCCACGCTCAAATAATCCTAATAATTCTTTAGGTGAGTGTAAATATATAGTAAGGTACTATGTTATCCTGGATATGATGTATCATAAACTGCTTTATTTTAGCTTAGTCTTTTTTTTAATGACAAATGTGCCCAAAAATCATCATTCAAAAGTAACTTGAAGGCAACACATGTTTTACTAGTCCACATCATATTCTCAATCCAGTTTAAAGTAGTCTTGATTGTCAGGTGTATTTAAAATAATAATTTTAAGGCTGAGTGACATAAAGATTAATTACAGCAGCATTAACCATACGAACTCAATCTAGCAGCTGGAAGCAAATTGCAGATAATAATATGAAGCCGTAGGCCTAAGGACTGAGATAACATAATAATCTTAACATTAGTCATATAGTGAGAAAGTGGGTCACGTGGTCACAGAGTTTAAACCCATCTTCAAAAGAATGAAAGTCTAGATGCCCAAATGCCTTGTCCTAATGAGTTATTCAACAATTCATTCAAAGCACCTTCTAGTTTAAAGAATGTGAAAGAAAAACTGCAAGATATATTTATATATAAACAAAGGACAAAGGTCACAAGGCTTGTGTTGGGAGGATAAAAATGTAGCCTAATGTTTCATTTATAAGATATAGCCTAGTCATTAGTCACTGACAATTTAAATTCAGGTCCTGTGAAATTTCTTTGACATATGTGAAAGCTTTGAGAAATGTAGGCCTCTACGTATAGTGGAATTAAAATATAGGATTCCTAACAGTTTCATACTGTAGGAAAAGAAAAGCTTTCTTTTTGTCAATGAGTGCTCAGCCTGAAGAGGATTGACTTGCACTTGAACGGGAGTTTTGTGTGCAAAACTAGTATTACTATGGAAGCAGAACCTTTAATGACAATGTGGCCATGAATTTTATTGGTTTTTGATCCTCTTGTGAGAACTGGGTTTATAAACATTCACCGACTCTTTTGATTTTTCATTCATAGGCATATTCCAACAACAACAAAAAAAGTTCTGTACTGCATTATGGAGAAACATCTTAATGTTTTTATATATTTCAAGACAAGAGATAAGTAAGGAAAAATACCCCAGAACCATCCATTAAATAGTCAAAAAAATTAAAATAGTATCGTACAGTTGAAACATCAAAGCTTTGGTCTTCAAAGGCCACTTTTGCTTAAAATCCAGAGAGTGAACGCAAATATAAGGATAAAATAATTGTGTATGATCTCATTAAATTATTTGTCAATGCAATTATCTTTCCAGTGTTGATGCATTTCAAATTGAAACATGGATTTCCATGAAAAAACAAAACAAAAAAAAAACATATTTTTGAAGACATTGCATGATGAGCATATATATGATGATTCTATATATAGAAATATGACCTTTTAACATTTTTAACTCATTATCAGGCTCTTAAATACATTTTTTATTAAATGTTTTATTTTATTTCATGACAACTTTCTGTTGCTAGTTGTTTGCAGGTAGTACATATGCATTCTTATCACAAACATTTTATTTTTTTAGAATTCGATATTGCATCAATTTTTGGCTTCCTGTAAAAGAAACAGTGTAAATTTGAAATCCATATTTCTGCTAGTTACATCAACTTTTAGGAGTACACTGCTTTACATAGATTATGTCAGAGCCAACAGACATACAATACGGCCAGATTGACTAAACAGGGCAAATTAGCATGAGAGCCCAATATAAGTCAGCGCAATACCCACTGACTCGAGTGTTAAGATCTGTGCATGATCTACTGACAACGCGCAAATTAAAGAACAGACACAGCCGTATCATTTCCATAATCACCAACACAATCTAATGTAGCAAGTGCAGCGCAAATTAGAGTCTGGTTTAAGACATGCTTTTTTGGGTGGTAAATAACGGCGCAAATACCAGTAAATTGACTAGCGTAAACCTTAGTAAATCACCTTGCGTGATTCATTTAAACACTCTCCTCCCATAAATTTTGCATTTGAAAGGGAAACTCCAACAAAGGCATATGCAATAAGGTCAGCCACAAAAAATAACTATGTCCATGCCTTTTCAGTGCTAATTCAGATTCATTATTTCTTGATTGTCCTTAAAAGAGCGAGCAACATTCATCACACATTATATGCACATACTACACAGAATATAATAGACATATTGCACAAAAAATGGCAACACAATAGTAAATACAATTTTAAAAAATGTTTTAATTAGCCTTTCCATTATGTGAATTCAATGTTCTTATACAGTAGCTGAAAGTACAAAACTTTTCACCGGGCATGATTTTTGTTATGGGGTAGCTGTCTGTGTCTACGGCCGGAGTGGGAAGACCAAATATAATTCCTCACTGCCCACAATCCTCAACACCAAAAGAGGGTTTGTGCGAACGCAAACTGTTAGTAAATCTGGCCCATAGAGTACGACTTTGTTTCCAGTTATTTTTATTCCCAATACTAACTTGAGCAGACTTGATGAATCAATGTAGACTCACATCAACTATTAACTCTGCTACGCTCAACTCTAAGTCAGTGGGACTAATCAGTCAGGAACAGTACAACATGACCTTGTGATCTGTGAAATACCATCCTGTCATCCATCAACCACATACCATCTTTTTCAACAGCCTTTTTCCCCTTAAACAACTCATTGGTTTGAGTTCCAATAGCACTTTTAACCATGTAGATGTTCTACATTGTACACAAACAATGCCCTAGTTTTTGGATTTTGCTCTTCCAAAAATTACACAAATTGAACCAGTCACCACTTGTAATGTTGTTGTCACTGTATAATTCAGGTCGTTTTAAGTCTAATTAGAAATAGATTTTACTGACGCCGATATTAGGCAAATAAAGTTAGGCGCAGTAGGAGCCTTAAATTATAGTGTAGAGCTCTTGATTGTTTATAGATGGCTCTCAATTTTTTCAGTCAGGCACTCATTAACTCTAACAGACGTCAGAGAAGCAGAGCGAGATTTGCAACTTTAGACTCTGAATCAGATGAGGTTGTAGATTTTGTCTTGTGGGCTAATATACATTAGCATATTGTTTCAGTGTTGGGTTTTCCCTCATTGAGTGGGCAAAAGCTGTACATTTTACCTTGAGTGATCTTGTAATTCTCCATTTGTCTAACAGTCAGCCCAGACTGGGGTCCATCAAGGCAATACCAGTAATTTCAGACGTTTGATAGTAGGGTGTGTGAAGAAATGGGCCTCTTTTTCCTCATACTTCATGGCTACACTCCCACCTCTTCTCAATGACGCTTTTCCACAGAAATCTTTTCTGGATTTCTCATAGTTTCTTTAGCTACTCCTCCTACCTCAAGATAAATGGCTTGCTAAATGTGTTTTATTGTACATGTCATTCTAAAAGTCTTAAAGAGTTAGTTCATCCAAAAATGATATTCTGTCATCAATTACTCACCCTCATGTCATTCCAAATCTGACATCCGTAGATTAATTATTCATGAAGATATTTTACAAAATCTGAGCTGCTCTTCTAAGAAACTACTGTTTTAGTTTTGTGTGAGTGAGTGTGTGTGTGTACTATTTCTTTAAGTTTTTTTTTCCCTACAGGTCAAATCAGGGACACACAAAGCAACTAGAAGGTTGCTGAGTAATTTTGTTAGCAATATTACTAAAGATAACAAAGGCTGGACTAATTAGGTAACATAACTGTCATCGTGAAGACATTTGTACTTCTACCGTAGTAAACCATTTGCTTTCTGACATCTGTCTTTAAGACTGTAGTGGCAAGTTCTTTCGTCATCATTTCTCAAGCAAATGTATTACTCTAGTAGTCGATTTCTTAGAAAGCGGTGTTACATAAGACTTGCGTTCCAGATTGTCCTCGTCTTTGTGGACCGTATTCAGCGTGGTGGTGGTGGCTTTTCTGAGAGTACACTCTAGATTTTACATTTACTCTCTGGTGGTGATAATGCTATCTGTGGGAAGTTTCTCTTCCTGATCTATTTTTTGCTTAGAAGAGATCATCCTGTGGGAAAGCATTTGCTCGCATACTGAACAAAACGGTCACATCAGAGAAAGCCTCATCAGCTTATTTGAAGTTGTATGTGGGAAGCTGAAACGCGTCCAAGAGATTTTAAGTTAAATAGATATATTAAAGGTGTAGTTCACTTTAAAAAAAAACTTTTGCTGATAATTTACTCACCCCCATGTCATCCAAGATGTCCACGTCTTTCTTTCTTCAGTCGAAAGGAAATTAAGGTTTTTGATGAAAACATTCCAGGATTTTCTCCATATCATGGACTTCATTGGGAACCAAACGGTTCAAGGTCCAAATGAGAGTTTCAGTGCAGCTTCAAATGGCTTTAAACGACACCAGACGAAGGATCTTATCTAGGACCCTTCGAGTCGTGACTCGAAAAAAGATTTGTTCATTTTGATGAACGAGTTTGAACAGGAGAGTCACGAATGCTCAGAAGAACAGAACAGAGCGAGGCGAGCGTTTGTGCTTATAAAACTTAAACTTTTTCATTTCTTTTTTAAATGACAGATGGTTTCGCTAGATGAGGCCCTTATTCATCGTCTGGTGTCGTTTAAAGCCCTTTGAAGCTGCAATGAAACTCTCATTTGGACCTTGAACCATTTGGTTCCCACTGAAGTCCATTATATGGAGAAAATCCTGTAATGTTTTCATCAGAAACCTTAATTTCTTTTCGACTGAAGAAAGAAAGAAGTGGACATCTTGGATGACATGGGGGTGAGTAAATTATCAGCAAAAGTTTTTTTTTTAAAGTGAACTACTCCTTTAATGTAAAAAGGAATATATTTAATTTGGGTGCTGACTGTACAAGGTCACCATTTCCAAAATCTTCACCATTTTAATAGGTTATCTGGTGTGACATTAATTTTTAAAAGTACACATTTTCTCAATAAATTCTGTTTGGTCAAAAAACAGCATACATTCTAATTATGAAACCATAAAGACAGCATGCATGCTAATTATATATGATTTGCATGATATTTGGAGACATTAAAAAGGATCTTCTGAAGTGGGCTATCAGGTTGTAAAACATTTTTAATATTTTTAATATGAACTTACAAGTTCCAGCAATAACTTTTAAGGACAATTATTGCTTTTGTTTGCTCCGGACCTGTTATGCGCATTTGAGCAGGCTATATACATTAGGTTACTTGAGGAACCTTCACGAGATGCCTGTATGGATAAAAGCATAAGAGAAAAAAAAAAAAAAACAGTAAACTTGAATGAGTTGACTCTACCTTAAACTCAGCCGAGAGTTGAGGTGTGTATTGAAAAGTCCAAAGCGCTCGGACCAAAGACGCAAGCCGTTCCGTAACTTCTCCTATCCCGTGCTGACCGTTCTCATCCATGATAAATCCGTTCATTCCCCTGTGACACATATCCAGTTTATATCGCTCCAAACCCAGATATTCTGAGAGCATGTCCGTATTGCTCAAGCACTGCACGACGGCGTTCATGAAGCAGGTGTTCCCGTGGTTCTTCAGACCCAACGCGCCTGGCGTTTTGTCCCCGTACAGTGAAAACAGTCGTTCTTTCGCGGAGGAACGGCAGGGAAGAGAGGAACTTTTCCTCACTTGGCTGCCGCTGTCCTCTATTTTCACATGTCCCGAGTTTCCAGCGCAAGGTGCGCTTTCTCCAAACCCACCATCATCATCCTCTGCATCGGACCGTTCGGTTGTTTCCCCACCGCTAGCCAAGCTTCCCAAACTTTTTAAGATCTTACTCACCAAACTTTCCACAGATTTAAACGATTTTCTCCGGAACAGTTTCCCTGTGCGTTTAGTAGACTTCCCCGCATCTTTTTTCGCGTTCTTGACGCGTTTATCCATGCTTCTTGTTGATTTCCCTCTGTGTTATTAAAACGTTCAAGCACGTAGAGTGTTGTTATCATCACCTGATGGTCTAGATATACAGCATTATGGACAGCAGTCGCTTCACGCGCACATCAGCGCTGATATTTTTTTCTTACGCTCGCCCTGAAGGAATGATTGACGGGTAGAGCCGCGGTCAGTACGGCGACGTCACACTGCCAGACGGTTAGGAGCGAATGAATGATTGACAGCTCTCAATAGTGGTCAGCACGAGCGCTCCTGGAACTTCATACTGTGGCGGGGAAGCTGCCTTCGAGAGCGAGCGAAGATTGACAGGTGGAGCTGTCAGTACGGCAAGCCTAGTGACCAGTGTGCGAAGTAGGGCTATATAATGACTTTCAAGGGGTCGACTGTTTGAAAGTAATTTTAAGGTGCTTCTATTTTATTAAATGTCGACGGTTACTGTCAATAGAGGGAATTTAGTAATTCTAAATACCATCATTATGCACATATCAAACCTTCAATATATTTTCCGACCTTGGGAGATGGTTAAAAAAAGGGTTAAAAAATCTTGAAAAAAAATAAACTCTGTTGTGCTTTGTTAAAATTTTTCTCAGTCGCTTTTGTTCATTTCTTGAATCATCTTTTTGCAAACTAGTATGTACATTTCTCAAAACAATTAGTTTAAGGCACAAAATGTAAGTTTTTTTCGCCTCAAGGGGGCATGGTTTACAACATTAAAAAAGGCGTTTATGACGCAGTGATGAGCTGAATGATGGGACTTGCTGTCAAGCTGATGGATCTAATAATAATGTTTATGGATGAGTGCAAACATTCATGTTTTTTCAACATTACAGTATGAAGCAGGTCGCGATGGCTAAAGAGACAGCTATCACACGCGAGTCCCGCGGATTTAAAGGAATACAAGGACATTTAATTCAACTACCCGCAAGTGCTGGATTATTCATGCAGGTCAGTTTTTTTTAGACGAATTAAACTTTGCTTGGTCTAACATTACACTATCACACTAAATGACGTGTTAATTAGTTTGCTATACGAAACTAGCAGTAAGCGAGATCAACATTAGAATAACTTACTGCCCAGATAGCAAACTGACATTAAATCAACGTGGAAATATGACATCGAAACAACATTGATCTGACATTGTTTTGCTCATCGAATTAACGTTGAACCAACGTCAGTCGCGTCATTCTTTCCAAACTAACGGAAAATCAACTTGAAATCAGCGCGTTGTTTCAACGTTATGAAAGCAAACCAATTTTCGATTTTCATTTAGCTTTGAAGAATGCCGCGTCTGACGTTGGTTCAACGTTAATTCGATGAGCAAAATCAACGTTGTTTCAATGTCATGAGAGACGTCATTTCCACGTTGATTCAATGTCAGTTTGCTGTCTGGGTGACCATATTCTAACATTCCATCATGTTGAGCAACTTGAGCTAATGTTATATAACATTGATTTGTTTAATACATTTGCTCACCTGTAAAGCTGTCAAGTCGTGACTCGTGAAGCAGTCAAGTCTCAAAAATGCCATGCTGATATTGACCCTCATTTATCAGAAATATCTATACAATCTTGGCCTCTTACTTACTCTGTTTTACCTCCAAACTGCTGAGTGCTGACCATGTTTGTTTCCTTGTTGTTCTTTCATTGTCAGAATTTGTAGCACATTAAGCTCCATGCCATACCTTTGGACTCTTTTAGAGAACTGGTTGATCAACTGGTTGACTGGTTGATTTCGGCTCCTCCCGACCGCAGACATAGGTTTGCAAACCTATTTTTCGATCAATTTTTCGATCAATTTCTTGCATTTTCCCCCCTTATGAACAACAACTTTTGGTACATGATTAAAACACCTTGTGGTTTGATCGATTCAAGTAGCCATAAATGACTCAAAACACAGGCATTTTGAGTTTGTTACAGTGCTTTCTAAATACAGCAAATCACTTCCTGCCCTCCATTTATATTTCGCACTATGGCAACGCAGTGGCGTGATGTCATATGAAAACAAGCTATTCAGGACATATTTACAAAATGTCTAGAAAACATGCCTGACAGTTAATGACAACTACCATTCTCAACCATATAATATATATTGATCAACATTACAATTGATAATGTAGGAAACAGCAGGCACTTTTACATAATCAATTGCATCAATATACCAAAGCATTTGTTCAGAATTTCAGTCGTGATCTGAGAAATGCACCAACGTGACTGGAAAAACTGTAATATTAAAGAGCACCTATCATGGATTTTTGAAATTGACTGTTCATGTAGTGTGGAATATAGCTCTAAGGGAATGAAAACATCCTGCAAAGATTTATATCTGAAAGTGCACCTTATATAAAGTTATTGTCTGTCAAAAGTGAGAGTCGACTCTGAGTCTATGAAATGAATTGTTTTTGAAACGAGTCATTAGCTGTTTCGTAGTGACGTAGATACGAAACATAAGCATATTGGCCGCGCCCAGTTACTGCGCACACAAACGGAAGTGTAAACTTGAAGTCTACACATTCAAATACTTAAGCTGAATCACATCATGTTGAGAAGACACTGTGTTCTACAATGCAAAGATAGTTCAGCCACTTTATTTTCATTTACCAGGGACAAGCATGCGAAGAATCGGTGGTTAGAGATCAAATTTGCAACGATACCACAACAGTATAGCCCAAACCTTGTGTTCACATCATTTTAATGACGAATCATTCAAAAACATAAATGAATTCAAATGTGGATTCGCAAGCCGGTTGTTCCAGAAAGAGATCTCAATACCCAGTGTATATGGATCAGCTTCCTCCTCCGAATCACAACCTGTAAGTATTATTAATAATTGTTGCTTTTATGGGTTTTGTAGCGTCGGGGCGCGAGGAAGGCGCAATAATTATGTGTGTGCGTGTGTAAGTTACGCTCAGCACAGCTTCTAGGTCTCCAATGTCAATTTTTTTAAATGTGAAATGTTTGTCGCTGTATTGGAGTTAAGAATAGAATGTCTTGTAGTACCGCAGTGCTTTATCAATATGTTTATGAGTCGGTTGGGCTAACAAACAATAACTGACTGGGTCATCTGACCAATCACCGCCGATTATCGTCACGCAAAGGAGTGGTTTGGAAAAATGAGTCGTTGTATTAATCATTTGGGAGTCGGTGAGCAAATCAGGTAAAAATAAATACATGTTATAAGACAACAAACGTGTTTTTTTGTCATTGCATTCATGTAAAACTGTTGTTGGGGACTCCCATAACAATATTAGAAACATTTTAAATGCCATAATAGGTTCCCTTTAATGGTGTGAATGTTGTTATCGCCTCTGACTATTTAATTTCACTCCATCACTCCCATGATGTTTGCACTATGTCCCTGTTTCCATATGTCTTTTACTGGACTTTGCGTAACCCCACACCTTCACTGGTTTATCATCACCTCTTGTGGACCGAGAACAAACGCTGCAGTCAGAGTGAAATCCAGTTCCCCGGTTATCTCTTGACTACCACGGTGATGGAATTTTGTCTCAAAACCAGACCACCTACAGTTTTCCATTTCTACTGCATTCAGCCAAATCAACAGCCAAATCACTGAGGTGGTTTTAAACTCATTCTGTCCTCTTTACATCTGAACAATCAGACGAGATGAATGTCTGAGGATAATGGCCAAATGGTCTTATTTTTAGATTTCCGGTTCTTTGTACTTTTTTTCTACTGAGATCTTATATGCAAATGACTTCAAAGTACAGAACATGCAGAGCTTAAAGACTTATTGTGTGTATAAATGTCTCTAGGTTGGCAGCTATCGCTTTCAGTGTGGCAGCCCTTTGCAAAACAGCAGATTATTTTTATATTCGGAGGTACATTTACATCCTTTCTTTTGTTGTCGTTGCTTCTGTGTGATAAAAGACACAGAACAATGCAGAAAAGCATGACATAAGCTCTCGTTGGACTGTGTTAACAGTTTGCATGTGGACTGGACTGGAAAATGAGAAGAGACGCTATAATCTGGTTTTAATTTATCTACCAGAGGTAATTCAGTGTAGTCTGGTTTGCCAAGCATGCACCGCATCATGGTTCTCTAAGGTTTTTCATTAAGTCTTCATTTTGAACCTTACCACACTAACATTCCTCTCAACTGTTGTGAGAAGATCAAGATTTTTAGGGTCAATAATCAACATGATGATGGGGTCTGTTGTCTCTAAAAACAGTCATTATCTCTAATGATAGCATGCCGTTAACACAGCCTTAGTCCACATACTTTGCTAGCAAGCTGTGTAGACCAAATTGATTTACACCAAGGTATAAAATACTGATCTGAGCTTTACTTTGGACTAGAAAGAATAACTGTGAATTGTCCCTTTACACCCCCTAACCTTTCTTATTCACATTTTTTTTAATTGTGAAAATTGTTATTTTAAGAAATGTTGAATGAAGGGTCCTTTGGGGGAACAAAAATTGTGGCATCGCTTTTGGAAACCTAGTGTATGTGTGTAAAATTAGGCATATTCTTTCTTTAACAGACACTGCTCATGTTTTTCTTTTCATACAGAGAGAAATTCAATCTGAATCCTACTATGAAGGTGAAAGGCAATAAGATGAAAAACAAATCATGGCGTGAGTGAAAGAGAGCTTGAAAAAAGTTGTTTTAGAATATATACTATTATATTCAAATCCACAATCAGTTTTAGCAAGATTACAGGCTGGTGGATTCTAAAAAACAGTTTCATAAATTACATTTCTGATAAGCAGTACAGCTTGATCTTAGTTGTTTGACGTCTGCTGCAGACCAATGCTTTGGTCTCTGTTATGGTCTTGGATTCATTGGTTCAGGCAAAGGATCCTGCCGACCAATAATGTGAATGTTTAATGTCAGTATCACTGGTGAAGACTTTAATCTTATCCTTTTTCCAGACTGACAGATCTGAATGCTTCTAAATCCCACGACACAGATTGTCATGACATCCATATCACCAATTTTAGATATTGCTGTCATTGAACCTTCTGCAGATTCTAAAATGATTATTGCTCTCATATGCTGCTGAATTCCGTGTTAAATTATACCTGACTGAGCAAGGCCTCCGATCAGACAGGGTAAGTGCTTCAGAAACCATGTAATGTTTGAATACATTACACTCATTATTTTTGCAACTCTAATTGGTACCGATACCACCGTCAAAATCGCTTAGAGAAGCCTTAATTTCATCTAAATTGATCTAAAGACAGTGACGAGTGAGGTACACTTGAGTATTGGTTAGCCTGGGGCGCCATCTAGTGGTAAACTAGAAAAAATACATTGTTTATGCCATTGAATGACTGCTCTGTTGTGGCTCTCACACTAAGAACACCTGAAGAGCAAGTAAAATGGCATTCATTCTCTTCCCTTGATGGCCTTAAAAGCCCTTGTAGAAAGAAATCTGAAAGCATAATGCCTTTTCAGGTCGTCAGTGTTTCTTCCTCGGAGTGAAAATGGCTTGATATTTGAGGACTGAAAGGTGCAGTGTGGGTTTTTTAGCGACATCTAGCGCTTCGGTTGCGATTTTGCACCAGGTTTGCACTAAGGGCTCAGCCCACTGCTAACCCCTCCCTTTCGAAGAAAACGGGACAAACATCTCTCCTCGCCTCAAAGAACAGCCAGAGTAAGCCA